CCATGGTTCTTAATGGACCACATTGAAATGGTATAGATCGATGTATTTTTTTAGGGTGCACACCGAAATCGGATGCGCGTTAATGGCATATGGAGTTTTCGGAAATTATTCGCGTTTTACGAGTTTTTGGGTACTTCAATGTAACGTGCCGCACATCTTAGCCGTCAAATGAAATTTCGCAAAATATATATGGATTGGAAGATAAACTTCTGTACTTCCTGGAAACCGCATGCGCATCAAATGATTTTGAGAATTACGCGATTTAGACGCAATTTATCTCAAAAATAGTGTGAGCTGGCACATCCATGGTTCTTAATGGACCACACTGAAATCGGTATAGATCGATGTATTTTTTAGGGTGCACACCGAAATCGGATGCGCGTTAATGGCATATGGAGTTTTTGGAAATTATTCGCGTTTTACGATTTTTTGGGTACTTCAATGTAACTTGTGGCACATCTTAGCCGTCAAATGAAATATCGCAAAATATATATGGATTGGAAGATAAACTTCAGTACTTCCTGGAAACCGCATGCGCATCAAATGATTTTGAGAATTACGCGATTTACACGCAATTTAAAATGTATATTTCATAATATTATTTTATTTTAAGATTTATTCATATTTATAGAATTCTAAGATTTATCGGAAGGGTCTTGATATAATCCGCAAGGCGTATACTTATACACAAAAAGTGATTATTATTATATATGTAAATTTTTCGGAGAAATTCGGGTAAAATAGCAAAATAACCCCAACATTTTTTTCTGAAATTTCTTGTATACAATTAAAAAAAATAAATATGATGACATTATTTTTTCGAACAAAAAACAAATACTTTTCCTCAATATCTTGTTTTGTTGTCGCTGTGATTTACAAACCGCTACACGGACTTGTGTGATTTTGATATCATTTGATTCATCATGGTGTTTAGATTATGTAGATATTTTTAAATTAATTTTTAGGTGTGTGTATATCATTAATATAAGGAAAATATTGATGTAATCTGCTATATTATTTTTATTTTTCTCATATTCCGCGAATATGTGCAACTTTATCGTGATTATTATAATATACTCATATTCTTATTTTACGGAGGAAGATATATATCAACTTTTTTCGTCAATATAATAAACGGCGTAATTTTAAGATTTTTTTCTTATGCCCAAAATTAAAACCTTGATAACTTTTGCGCGCATCAACCAAAAATTTGATCGCGAACGGTTTCGGAGTCAGAACATTTTTCTCTATATGTGTACCAAAAATCATTGATGTGCCACAAAAACAAAAAAGCTGATTTTTTGAAAATGGAATATTAAAAAATTGGCAATATTGCCCATATATATATATAGCATCCACCATAAGGAGGAGTGTCTACAAATTTGTCATTCCTCAACAATTTGAATGTGTGTATTGCAAATGGGATATATCGGCGTTTTGTTGTAGCCCCATATAGCTGCATGGCCTTACTTACTTAGCTGGCTTGTAACACAACGGTTGTTCCATAAGTCGAGCTTTAAAAAGATTTCCAAGCTTCGATCAACTTCGGTATTTTCGGGGTTCACGTATTTCACTTGAATTGGCAGGAATTTGATATTTTGGGTTCTTATTGTATGGCAATATCTAACAAAAACTCGTAATATTGTTCACCGTGAATTTTCTCCTAGCAGCAATTCACCCCATCGCCCACATAAATTTTAGTGATTTTGAAAACCTTATAAAGGTGGAAAGTACAACAACCATTTTTGGTTTTTTTAACACATCCAATATTTTTTTTTATTTTGATTAAATTTTCAATAATTTTTATCGTAACCATAATTGATTTTGACTGTAAGTGTTTTTAGAAATTCACTTAAACCCATTAAACGATATCTGAAAGGAAATAATGTGTCTCATATTTATGAAGAATTGTACTAAAAGTAATATGACAGGAAATAATTTTGCATTAAACACTTTTCATATTGATATGTATTTCTCTGAAGATATAGTCAAACTTCAAATGTACTACTAGATAAATTGATTGATAAACCAGTAAGGAAACTATAAAGTCGGGCTGGATCGACTACAATAACTTCATTGTAGACTCAATTTGATACGTTGTCCAAAATTTCGTATCAATCGGACAAATATTAGGAGTTCGGTGTACATTTACCTAAAATCGGACTAAAATATATATGTGGGAGCTATATTTGAATCTGAACCGATTTCAACGAAACTTGCCAGAGATTAATTGTACATTGTACATAACTGTGTGACAATCGGACAGACTTTGGGTATTTAATGCACAATTTACATAAAATCATACGAAAATATATATGGGAGCTATATCTAAATCTGAACCGATTTTCTTGTATCGAGAAGGTACAACAACACCTTGAAATATTCACCTATGGCCCCATAAGGTATATATATTAATGATCAGCGTAAAATTCTATGTCGATTTATCCAAGTCCATCCGCCTGTCTGTTGAAATACACCTCGCAATATTTAAATATATAAAAAAAAAACTGAAAAAACAACAGGTAGCAAAAGCCTACTCCGCTCAACTTATCCACCTGCTTGACGAAAGCACATCTTGTCCCGATAATAGTATAGAAGCACAATGGCCCGTGGTACGATCAGGAGTGTCCTTATGCTGCGTATAGGGCAACTCTGCAGTAGTAACATGTAATGCGATGGAGAATTATTCGGAGAAAAAGAGAGAGTAGAAACGTATTTTCAGACAGACATCATGTTGAGGATGAAGTAGTGATGGTGAAGAAGATATCCCAGAACCCCCAGGTCGGCTTCAGCCCTGGCAAATCGACTATTGACCAGATTTTCACTATGCGCCAAATCCTGGAAAAGACCCACGAAAAATACATCGACACATTCCGTCGACTGTAAAGCCGCATTCGACAGTCCTATCCGATCAGAGGTATTTAAAGCCATGTCTGCGTTCGGCATTCCTGTAAAATTAATACAGCTTTGCAGGATAACTTTAAGTGGCACAAGGCCAGCAGTTAAAGTCGGAAATGATCAAACGGAGCCCTTCAAAACCAAACGAGGATTCAGACAAGGTGACATGACAAAAGGTCATACGTGAACAGAAATGGCACTCTGTACACCAAACAGCACATGTTACTCGCCTACGCCGACGACATTGCGAGCGGTAAAAGCCATATTTGAACAAATTAAAAAGGAGTCTGCCAAAGAGGGTCTGACAGTAAATGGCGAAAAGACCAAGCTGATGCTATCGACGCGCAAGACGTCCAGTAGGACCAACTTGAGAACTACAATTTCAAGGTAGTTAAAGGTTTTGTATACCTTGGTACCGCCATAAACAAAACAAATGATATCAGTGTTGAAATGGTTAGCAGTTTAGAAACTAAGCCACCTCCCGCCAGACCAAACTCCCACTTTGCAAGACGCTGATGGATGACCCTGGAACATGGGTATTTGCGCAAGCAGATGATGCAGCTCTTGGGGTGTTTGAGACAAACATTATACGAAAGATCTACGGGCCGATCTGTGACGACGGTGAATATCGGCGTCGAATAAACCACGAGCTTTACAATCAATACGCGGACATCGACATAGTTAGTCGTATTGAGCTGCAGCGACTACGGTGGCTAGGCCATGTTGTGCGAATGAATGAGAATGCCCCAGCTCAAAAGGCATATAAAAGCAAGCCTACTGATGGTTCACGCAGAAGGGAAAGGGCAAGAATAAGATGGAAAGATCAAGTAAAAGACAACATCTCGGAACATGGTCTTTCAAATTGGAAGAGATGCGACAAGACCGGCGCGCTTGGCATCAGATCTTTGTTAAACTCGGCTTATGCAACAACCATTCTGTAACAATAATACATTGGATTATCATTGGGTAGAACATTGTGCTTTCAAAGCTCCCTTTATTTCGTATTTTTGGGATTTTGCGGATGTTTTTCCAACGAATTAGTTTTATTTTGATATGATAGGGTTTTATTGGGTACCAATTTACCATGGTATATCCCTTTGTACCATATCATAGCCTTTGTTAATTGATTTCAGTTTTCGTTAAGCGCTTTCCTGTCCACATGTATAGCCATTTTGTAAAAGTGTGCCAAAAAAAAAAATTACAATATTTCTGAATGTAATCATTTGACATTTAATTAGTTTGTGAGCGGAATATCAATATATTTTGTCAACACTCACATAGTAGAGCATTACATATATACGAGTTAAATGGGTATTGAATGTTGTTCTGCATAACCACCTTAACCACGTGCCTCTAGCGTTTTCAGTGGCTTCATTTAATGGAAGCTGTATATAATATTTTCGGTTATCCACGCTAACCAGAAAACAAATATGAGGGGAAGTGCTTTAATAAAGACTTTGACACGAGTTGAGTTTTGATGTTCAGATTTATTTAAAGGTCCCAGATATATATTATCGTTCGATTTCATACTAATGGCGCACGAATGGATCTACGTTTGTCCAATTGAGAATTAACATAGACTTCCGAACTGAGTCTAGAATAACGTATGTCAAGTTCAACTTATGTCAAGTCAAGTCTGTCAATTTGTGAAGAAAAACATGATGACTGACTTAACAGAGGAATTTAAATTCAAAATTTAATGTCTCACAAAATCTGGTATCCGATCTCTGATCCGATATATAATAAACATATTTTTTAAACACATTTGCCTCGTTGAAATGTAAAATAAAATTTATTCAGAACAATCTAATGATGAAGTTAGAAAATATTCAAATTTTACTCAACCGCATAGGATACTCTACGTCTGAATTACACAAACACATTTATACAATTAAACATCGAAATTGCAGAATGTTATTTTATTTTGAAAACTTTGTCTTCTAAACGTAACAATTTTGTGTAGAGTTTTTGCTTGTATTTCATATAAAAAATCAATAAAAAGTGTTTGTTTTTTGCTTTCGTTTCATTTGGTTTTCAATAAAATACGTACCGATCTATTTTTTGGCCACAATTAATTGTATAACCAACATTTTCAATTTCAGTCACTACGTTTGTTTTATCGGCACTTGTCAGCCACGAGAACAAATTGGATATGGTGCACGTTCAGAATTCAACATTGGCCGGAGGTGTTGCCGTTGGCACTGTCTGTAATTTGCTGATTGGTGCCCATGGCGCTGTTTTAATTGGAATCATTGCCGGTACAATATCGGTAATGGGTTATCGTTTTATAACGGTGAGTAATTGTGTATATCTTTTTTATATATTATTTCGGTATGATGTTGGTAGTGCAGGAATGCAAAATTTAAAGACTTGACAAAATGCATAATGAAAGAAATAGTTTATGTAAATAATATAGGGACACCAGGAACTACATCATAGTAAATATAATATAGATAGCCTCATTAATTTAATACTTGACCCTGTGCTGTTGGAGTTCTCATATAACCTGTACATTACAAGACTTTAGACCGAATAGCTGAAGATTTTGTCATAGAAGAGCTGGAGGTCTTCTCATAGAAGAGCTGGAGGTCTTCTCATAGAAGAGCTGGAGGTCTTCTCATAGAAGAGCTGGAGGTCTTCTCATAGAAGAGCTGGAGGTCTTCTCATAGAAGAGCTGGAGGTCTTCTCATAGAAGAGCTGGAGGTCTTCTCATAGAAGAGCTGGAGGTCTTCTCATAGAAGAGCTGGAGGTCTTCTCATAGAAGAGCTGGAGGTCTTCTCATAGAAGAGCTGGAGGTCTTCTCATAGAAGAGCTCTGAAGGTCTTCTCATAGAAGAGCTCTGAAGGTCTTCTCATAGAAGAGCTCTGAAGGTCTTCTCACAGAAGAGCTCTGAAGGTCTTCTCATAGAAGAGCTCTGAAGGTCTTCTCATAGAAGAGCTCTGAAGGTCTTCTCATAGAAGAGCTCTGAAGGTCTTCTCATAGAAGAGCTCTGAAGGTCTTCTCATAGAAGAGCTCTGAAGGTCTTCTCATAGAAGAGCTCTGAAGGTCTTCTCATAGAAGAGCTGGAGGTCTTCTCATAGAAGAGCTGGAGTTCTTCTCATAGAAGAGCTGGAGGTCTTCTCATAGAAGAGCTGGAGGTCTTCTCATAGAAGAGCTGGAGTTCTTCTCATAGAAGAGCTGGAGGTCTTCTCATAGAAGAGCTGGAGGTCTTCTCATAGAAGATCTGGAGGTCTTCTCGTAGAAGAGCTGGAAGTCTTCTCATAGAAGAGCTCTGGAGGTCTTCTCATAGAAGAGCTCTGGAGGTCTTCTCATAGAAGAGCTCTGGAGGTCTTCTCATAGAAGAGCTCTGGAGGTCTTCTCATAGAAGAGCTCTGGAGGTCTTCTCATAGAAGAGCTCTGGAGGTCTTCTCATAGAAGAGCTCTGGAGGTCTTCTCATAGAAGAGCTGGAGGTATTCCCATAGAAGAGCTGGAGGTCTTCTCATAGAGGAGCTGGAGGTCTTCTCATAAAAGAGCTGGAGGTCTTCTCATAGAAGAGCTGGAGGTCTTCTCATAGAAGAGCTGGAGGTCTTCTCATAGAAGAGCTGGAGGTCTTCTCATAGTAGAGCTGGAGGTCTTCTCATAGTAGAGCTGGAGGTCTTCTCATAGTAGAGCTGGAGGTCTTCTCATAGAAGAGCTGGAGGTCTTCTCATAGAAGAGCTGGAGGTCTTCTCATAGAAGAGCTGGAGGTCTTCTCATAGAAGAGCTGGAGGTCTTCTCATAGAAGAGCTGGAGGTCTTCTCATAGAAGAGCTCTGGAGGTCTTCTCATAGCAGAGCTCTGGAGGTCTTCTCATAGAAGAGCTCTGGAGGTCTTCTCATAGAAGAGCTCTGGAGGTCTTCTCATAGAAGAGCTGGAGGTCTTCTCATAGAAGAGCTCTGGAGGTCTTCTCATAGAAGAGCTGGAGGTCTTCTCATAGAAGAGCTCTGGAGGTCTGCTCATAGAAGAGCTCTGGAGGTCTGCTCATAGAAGAGCTCTAGAGGTCTTCTCATAGAAGAGCTCTATAGGTCTTCTCATAGAAGAGCTCTGGAGGTCTTCTCATAAAAGAGATCTGGAGGTCTTCTCATAGAAGAGCTCTGGAGGTCTTCTCATAGAAGAGCTCTGGAGGTCTTCTCATAGAAGAGCTCTGAAGTTCTTCTCATAGAAGAGCTCTGAAGGTCTTCTCATAGAAGAGCTCTGAAGGTCTTCTCATAGAAGAGCTCTGAAGGTCTTCTCATAGAAGAGCTGGAGGTCTTCTCATAGAAGAGCTGGAGTTCTTCTCATAGAAGAGCTGGAGGTCTTCTCATAGAAGAGCTGGAGGTCTTCTCATAGAAGATCTGGAGGTCTTCTCATAGAAGATCTGGAGGTCTTCTCATAGAAGAGCTGGAGGTCTTCTCATAGAAGAGCTGGAGGTCTTCTCATAGAAGAGCTGGAGGTCTTCTCATAGAAGAGCTGGAGGTCTTCTCATAGAAGAGCTGGAGGTCTTCTCATAGAAGAGCTGGAGGTCTTCTCATAGAAGAGCTGGAGGTCTTCTCATAGAAGAGCTGGAGGTCTTCTCATAGAAGAGCTGGAGGTCTTCTCATAGAAGAGCTGGAGGTCTTCTCATATAAGAGCTGGAGGTCTTCTCATAGAAGAGCTGGAGGTCTTCTCATAGAAGAGCTGGAGGTCTTCTCATAGAAGAGCTGGAGGTCTTCTCATAGAAGAGCTGGAGGTCTTCTCATAGAAGAGCTGGAGGTCTTCTCATAGAAGAGCTGGAGGTCTTCTCATAGAAGAGCTCTGAAGGTCTTCATAGAAGAGCTCTGAAGGTCTTCTCATAGAAGAGCTCTGAAGGTCTTCTCATAGAAGAGCTCTGAAGGTCTTCTCATAGAAGAGCTCTGAAGGTCTTCTCATAGAAGAGCTCTGAAGGTCTTCTCATAGAAGAGCTCTGAAGGTCTTCTCATAGAAGAGCTCTGAAGGTCTTCTCATAGAAGAGCTCTGAAGGTCTTCTCATAGAAGAGAGGTCTTCTCATAGAAGAAGGTCTTCTCATAGAAGAGCTGGAGGTCTTCTCATAGAAGAGCTGGAGGTCTTCTCATAGAAGAGCTGGAGTTCTTCTCATAGAAGAGCTGGAGGTCTTCTCATAGAAGATCTGGAGGCTCATAGAAGAGCTGGAGGTCTTCTCATAGAAGAGAGGTCTAAAGGCGTTCATAGAAGAGCTGGAGGTCTTCTCATAGAGAGAGGCTCTAGAAGAGCTCTGGAGGTCTCATAGAAGAGCTCTGGAGGTCTTCTCATAGAAGAGCTCTGGAGGTCTTCTCATAGAAGAGCTCTGGAGGTCTTAGAAGAGAGGTCTTCTCATAGAAGAGCTCTGGAGGTCTTCTCATAGAAGAGCTGGAGGTCTTCTCATAGAAGAGCTCTGGAGGTCTGCTCATAGAAGAGCTCTGGAGGTCTGCTCATAGAAGAGCTCTGGAGGTCTTCTCATAGAAGAGCTCTATAGGTCTTCTCATAGAAGAGCTCTGGAGGTCTTCTCATAAAAGAGATCTGGAGGTCTTCTCATAGAAGAGCTCTGGAGGTCTTCTCATAGAAGAGCTCTGAAGTTCTTCTCATAGAAGAGCTCTGAAGGTCTTCTCATAGACGAGCTGGAGGTCTTCTCATAGAAGGGCTGGAGGTCTTCTCATAGAATGTTTTCTCACTGAAGGTATTTTCATAGAAGAGCTCTGAAGCTCTTTTCATAGAAGAGCTTTGAAGGTTTTCTCTTAAAAGAGATCTGAAGGTCTTCTCGTAGAAGAGCTCTGGGGGTCTTCTCATAAAAGAGCTCTGGAAATATTATAGAAGAGCTCTGGAGGTCTTCTTATAAAAGAGCTCTGGAGGTCTACTTGTAGAAGATCTCTGGAGGTCTACTTACAGAAGAGCTCAGGAGGGAGATATGCAGGACTTTTTATAGAATTTAGATGTTTAAAAATTTGAATCTGTTTGAATTTGAAATTGAAGATGGGGTATATCGGTCCACGCTTTGTTATAGCGACCATATAACGGTACCCCCATATATTCAGTATTTTGGGTCTTTTTGGCAGGGTTTTCCATGAAATTAGCTGTAAATCGGTACTATGGGTTCTAATTGGGTTATAAATCTTCCTATCAAAAATGATAAATAGTCCCTATATAGCAGTACCTGCCAAATTTAGATATTTTGGGGAGTATGGGCACATTTTCATTCGACAAGAATTAGCAACATTGACCCATTTTTGAAGAGCCCCATTTTTGGAGAGCCCCATTTTTGGAGAGCCCCCTCCTTACCCGGTATTTTTGGCATTATGGGCGCGTTGCCTATAATTGGTTTTCAAATCTCCCTATCAAAAATTACCAAGACTTACCAATGACTACAAATCTTTTAATTGTCGAGCAACATAGTCATACAAATTGTTATTAACCGTAGAGCAAAATAGGTTATGCGTTTTAAAGCCCTACATCACAATGTCGTAATCTGGAAAGGGACTCGTGGTCTATGATATTAATTATTTTTTATACGCCATCAGGTTTTGGACGATGTTTTCACTGCTGTTATGTCTTTGGCACATGTCGTTGTGTAAGGGTAGCATATCGTTATTATCTATGTTTATATACAATACCAACGTTTTACTGCTCTACACAATACACCCATATTATTTATGAAGTCTAAACTCTTAATGGAATAGGGTCCATTATGCAAGTCCAAGATAACTTTATGTGCATTCAATGGCTAACCATCAACTTAATATTACAATCGGATGCCCAGGCATCATCCGAGGGTTCTGATTATTATTAATTAATTAATTTTTTGAACAATGGAACAAAAGTATTTAAAATATCCACCCGTAACGGAAAAACTTATTATAACATATACCAATTTCGATATGTTATAATAAGTTTTTAAGAGGCTTAATATTTAGGTTTCGAACAATATTGCAATTTTATAAACTAGAAAGAGATAATTTACAAAATAAGAAATTGAACAATGCAAATTGAGAAATTTTGCAAAATGGTAAAATATAATAAAGGATTTTTACTATCGTTCTCGTCAGATAATTTATTTAGGCAATTTTCGCTTGGAGTCAATAATACAATTTTAAAGAACATTAGGAATATATTCCGGACACACATAGTATGGTGTATTGTGATAAGAAAAGAAATTAATCATGTGGTCATTACAAAGACATAAATGCGTCAAGATGGGACATTTTAATATCGGAAAATTCATAGGCTGGAAATATTAAGGAATATGAATACATTTATTTGATTTTCACTAAAATGTAAACGTAAAACCAGTGAACGTAAAACCGGACGGGGCCAACTCTACGAAACCCTACACATTACCACGGAAGACTAACTTTCTGCGGATGTTTATTCCTAGCCTGGGCAATATCTCATGATATTTGCACCCTTTGCCCGATTATAGGTCAACAGCAGCTCTTCCACACTGACATATTTTCCGAATAATATTCAGTACAGCACTTCTAATTACTTGTCCAGATACCCTTCACCGAGGATTCGCAGAAAAAAAGAAAAAAGTTAAGTTTTCGCTCCATTTCAAATTTGGAATCGATTGGGTTATTAGTTTTTGAGATATCGAGCCCGCTATTCATAAAAGCAATGTTCTGAGGCGCGTTTAAAGTTTGAGAATCACGCGTTTAAAGTGATGCCAACACAATAAATCGGCTTCAAGAGTTTTTGAGATTTTCACTGGACTTTATTTATTGGGACAAATTATATCAAAACACAAAATTAATTTTTTTGAAACCGAGAATGGGGGATCCCCTTGAATAAACTTTGAAGGTGTGGAATATCGGTCTACTACTTTTGATGCCTCCCTCACAAAATCGTCAAAATTATAATGAGAATGAATTATTCGAGTCCAAGTCAAGATGAAAGCCATTGGTCTCACCTCTTTTTTAAAGCATATGAATCAACCGGAATCTTTAATTTCATTTAAACTTTGCACGTTGTCATATTTTTAAGAAACCTAGATCAAGACCGAAAGATGAAACCATCGTGCCTAAACTCCCCAAGTGCAAAATGTACCGAATACGCTGAAATTTTGTACATTGAGTTCTTATTGGGTTCCAAATGTTTCCACAAAAAATTATAAATATAGGTCCACTTTTTCTGGTAGCACCCATATAACGGTACCTCCTAATTTTCATTATTTTTGGGGTTTTGATCTATTTTTTCCACCGAATTGGCTGTAATTTAGTATTTAGAGTACTTAATAGGTACCAAATCACTTCACGAAAAATTATAAATATAGGTCAATTTTTTCGGATAGCCCCCATATAAGGGTACCCCCCAATTTTCGGTATTTTGGGGTTCTTGAGTGCGCTTTTCAATCGAATTCGCTGCAATTTGGTATTATGAAGTCGTATATGGTAACAAATCTCTCTACCAAAAAGTTTAAATATTCGCCCCCTTTTTGGGGTCGTCCCCATATAACCCCCTTTTTATAGTAAAATAGTTATATGATTTGTTCCGTGTTTGGGTTTGGTTCTAAGACTCTGTTGCAATCATTTTACCTGTCAGTATATGTATGGTGGAGGGTATCCAAAGTTCGGCCCGGCCGAACTTAACGCTTTTTCACTTGTTTTATATTAAAATAGTTATCTGATTTGTTCTGCGTTTTGGGTTTGGTTCAAAGACTCTGGTGTAATCATTTCACCTGCGGAGGATAGAACGTAAGGTTCGATAATGTATTATATATGAACTATAGCCCGGATTTAGGCCTAGCCCCTGTATGGGGCGTACCAGAAGGAGTGGATCGATATTTCCCAGCTTCGAACTTGAACAAAGTTTGGATAAAATCAAAATTATCTGAAATGGTTTTGGTCCAAAAAAACGTGGATCTAGAACCAATATTTCGACGAGGCACATTTTCACTGTATCAAAGTCTATACACCCTCATTAGCCATAAGGTTGAGGGTATAAATATTCATTAAAAATTGCTGAAATTATGGTTTACATAATCAGTTTGTACCTGTCAAGTTCCTGTCAGTATATCTATGGTGGAGGGTATCCAAAGTTCGGCCCGGCCGAACTTAACGCTTTTTCACTTGTTATTGTTATTGTTATTTTTTATTTTATTTATTTATTTATTTATTTTTTAATTCCGTACAAACAAAATAGCTTACAATAGTCAGGATTAATACATTTGTCATAAGCTGAGGATATATGCAACGGCAACAGTCGGTGTTGCATTTACCTCTAAAAGTTTTTCTCTACAAATAGGGTTTCCAAAATGCATTTTGCCATGTCTTCACATTTTTGAAGTTGTTGCTTTAAATTTACCTTTACTAAATTTTCCAGCCACATACCCCAAACAATGCAACAGAACTCAATGAACAAAAATCATAAATTTTTATAGTAAAACCTAAACATTTATTAAACTTCTGTTTACACATTGTCAAACAAGACACGTACAAAAACAAAACTTTTTCATATTAATATATAACACAAAAATAAAAATTGCTTGGCCAACGGAAAAAATCTAAATAAACTTTATTTTGCAACAATTTCTAATCTCTTGTTTCTATTTTTTCTTCTTCTTTTCATTCTCTTCCTCATCCCTTTTGTGACAATATTCCAGCCATTTTTCACAGAGAAATTACGTTTACACGACACCTGTGGCGTACATAATCTCCATGGCATGCCGGCCCTAATCTCAGCCATTGCCTCGGCCATTTATGCATTGATGGTGACTAGAGAAGAATACAAATCCGATTTGGGCTCTATCTTTCCAGCAATGTTGAATGAAACGGAAATATCAGGCAACAACATGACCGAAAACGATGCAACAGTCCATATAATGGGGGTAAGTATATACGGATACACGAAACATTTGTATACTCGAATTTACCAAAAAGTAAATTTTGTATAAGTAATATGCAGAAGAGGCACAAATGAATGTTACATAGCCATGACCAGTTGCAGCGTAGATGATGCTTATTTATATCAAGAATATATTTATATAAAAACTTTATTGAGACTCCGAAAATATCAAAAATCTTCTATAATATGAAATGAGTCGGGGATTGGATTTCGATAATTCCCTAAATATAATTTTTTATCAAAAAGAACAATTTTATTGGGAATACCAATAGACCTTTTCTAACTATTATTTAAACTTATATGCGATTTAATTTTAGATTTTTAAATAATTATTTCTTTTACCACTTTATTTCAGGGCTATGGCCGCACCGCCAGTGAACAGGCTGGCTATCAACTTTTCGGTATTGCCATGACTGTTCTGGTTGCCATAGTTGGTGGTATATTAGCAGGTGGGTAATCCCTACACATCTATATTGAGTAGGAAATGGTCCAGCATTTAATATAAAATATATAATAATTTATTTTTCCTTCCTCTTGTTCTCATCCTTTACACTGCCCCATTTACACAATGGCTTGACTTGATTTCCTATGTTATGCCAACAATAACAACAACATCATAATCATCTCCGTCGGCGTTGTCGTTGTCGTCGTCATCTACAAACGGCTGTATGGGGCCAATAACCACGAAAACTTTGTTAACTTTATCTTCCGGTCACCGGTCATATGGGCTTTGGTCGGGAACTATGGCACATTTATTGGTGTGCGTGTGTGTGTGTGGGCCTCCTCTATATCTATGGTGACCAACTCAAACACACAACAGGTTTGGCACTGAAGTACACCGGCTTCCGGAAGTTACAAAAGGACGAACAGCATCAGGATGAACTCTATTGGGAGGTGCCTGCCGAACGCAAGGATGAATAGTAAAGTGAAAATAAACGAATTTTATTTAACATGGCAAGAACAACATCAGAACGCAAAAACAAACATTCGCCCAGCACTCAGCTGAATGCAACACCTTTGTAGCAATTTTTAAATGTGTATTTAGTCGGAGAAAAAGAAAAAGAGAAACACAAACAGCAGATACTTTATTTTTTTTGTTTTGTTTTCAATACACAACGTGCACTTTTTACTTTATAAACAAGTTTTTCAAGAAACATTTATTGAAAAAAATGCAATAAATGAAAACACCATTAATCAGTTGATAGAAAAGTTTTCTTTAAATATTCATGGAATGTCTTTCAGATATTTTATGGCGAGACTCTTGAGTTTTGCTGAGAAACACGCGTTTAATGTTTGAGAATCACTGTTGTCATCAGTTCAAATTTAATCGAAAAACAAAATTTAAATTTTGGAAACTGACAATGGGCGGGGGCTCCCTAAATGAAAAATCGGTTAATTGAAAAGGAAATCACTTCCAAAAGGTCATGTTTCTTTGAAAACAACCCCTCTTAATTGAAAAATATATGCTTTGTGTTTGGGCAATGTTAGTTTTACGCAGTGACTAATTTTCGGAACATTGGCTGAGAAGTCAGAAAAAATCCTGGCCATATACCAGGGAAAACAATTTATTCTGTCAAATGGTAATATGCAGCAAATACGACGTCATTAAATCAGCCAATAGATCAGAGTATCGATCTTTTAAATGTCAATACCGAAAGAATAGTGTACCAAAACAATTTCTGCATTTGGAATGTAGAGATTCTTTGAATCAATTTCCAAACAAGTGAAAAAGCGTTAAGTTCGGCTGGGCCGAACTTTGGATACCCTCCACCATAGTTATACTGACAGGTACTTGAAATGAAAATATAGGGAACATACCAAAATTGGGGGTACCCTTATATGGGGGGCTACCAGAAAAAATGGACCTATATTCATAATTTTTTGTGGAGTGATTTGGAACCTATTTAGAACTCAAAGTACTAAATTACAGCCAATTCGGTGGAAAATACGACCAAAACCCCCAAAATACTGAAAATTAGGAGGTACCGTTATATGGGGGCTACTAGAAAAAATGGACCTATATTTATAATTTTTTGTGGTGAGATTTAGTACCCAATAAGAACCCAAATTTCAGCGAATTTGGTTGAAAAACGCGCTCAAGAACCCCAAAATACCGAAAATTTGGGGGTACCCTTATATGAGAGCTATGCCTAAACGTGGACCGATTTATCCCATCTTCGAACTTGACCTGCCTGCAGACAAAAGACAACCCTATGCAAAATTTCAGCACCCTATCTAAATTCCTTCGGAAGATAGCGTAATTACAACAGACGGACGGACGTGGCTAGATCGTCTTAGAATTTTACCCTGAATATTTTGGTGAGTTACAAACCGAATGACAAAATTAATATACCATCCATACTATGGTGGAGGGTATAAAAAAAATCTTCAGAGAGCCGAAATTGGTGAGTGGGATAACTACTACGAAATATTTCAAACTTGTTTTATTATTGTTATTTCAATAGTACTAGATTTATTGAACTATTATCAATTATCCGGACTTAGCATTATTGAAAAACTCCGCTAATTGAAACCAACTCACTGCATTTGGCCACTTTCAATTAAGGGGACCCCCCCCCATTCTCGGGGTCAAAATTTTTGTTGACTTAATTCCAATCTACACTAATTCAAGAATGTCCCTGCAAAATTTCAAGTTAAAATCTCAAGAACTCTTGAAGATATAGCCGATTTATTGTGTCAGCATCAAGTGACGGCTGAAGGGCTTCTCAAACTTTAAACGCGTTTTTCTCTAAACATTTTTTGCGAATGGCGGGCACGATAACTCAAAAACTAATAACCCAATCGATTTCAAATTTTTACACGTTTCTCTGTGAGTGTACTGCTATCGTATGAACTAGGATAAAGCCAATCGGTGAAGATCTTCCTTATTTTTTAACTTGGTTTTTGGTAAAAAATCGGTGATTTTTCAAAAATATTTTTTCAAAGGTCCGCCATTTTGTTAATTTTAGAGCGAGGTCAATAATCCTAGTTCATACGAGAGCCAGACATGTACTCTTTCTAACACCGTTGGAATTTTCGAATTCCGATGTTCCAGTGAGGAGTTATCATGCCCGCCATCAAAAATAACAAAAAATAACAACAAAATTTTTTTGTAAATTATTTTTCTTCCTTTTTAAATCTTCAAATATATATGTGCAAAGTTACAAACCTTAACAAGCATTGGTATTCATTTACCAGCCCATTTAAAATCTTAAAAATAAAAAATCGAGAATGGGGGGTTCCCTTAAGCGGATTTGACTGTAACAAGTAAAAACGATGTTAATTTCGGTCCGGCCGAAATTTTCATATCCTCCACCATGATAACAGTAAACATTTCTTAAATTATTGGGTGCTCCGAGGAGAAGAATCATGTTATGATAGGGCCTTGAACATACCGAAATATATGTGTGAAAAAAATGATTCTCGAAATATCAAACATAATAAAACGCAGATCAATTGATAGTTTCTGATATGAGATCCAAAATACTGACTTGGGTCAATATTAACCCATTGTGTCCCAATGTTGCCCACAGGCAAAAAATGTTTTAGAGCTTATATTGATTACGCTGTATATTTTTTCGATTACAAATTGTACCCTCCAAATTGTTGCTGTGTCTTGTAAAAATGTTGATATTGGACTTTTATTTTTCGGAAAAGGTACTATATCTCCCGAATGCAAGGATGTAGCGACGTCAAATTTTGTGCATATCTTATTTAGGATAGTTACATAACCCTACGGTCAACACCCGGGTACATTTGTACCTTTTTTCGAATAAAAATGCTGTAAAACTTTTAATAATGGAGATATTTGGATCAAATTTTGAGGAATCATTCTTGAGGTATTTTCACACATAATCGAAGAAAAAAATTATAAATATCTTATATATATAATTTTTAACATTTTTTAAAGTTATTACATACGTAGATCAATAACCGTGGTACATTTGTACCCATCCAAAGATAGCTCTGTAATTCGTTAAAAAATTGGACTATCTAGAGGTTTTTTATTTTAAATTAGTCTATACGGATCTGATCTAGATGTAGGATCTCAAAATTATATAAACATTAAAATAATATATATTTAAATCCATGCTTAAATGATAATCTATCTAAAACAATCATAGTAAGTTCGTTATACAATAATTATTGTCCGTAATTATCCAATTATTCTTCATACTGGGCCTGAAACTTTTTCTATAATCGAATTAGTCTGATTTATTACAATCCTAAATTGACGTTCATATATTAGCTATCATTATATAACGTTTTAAAGTTTTAAATAATGTTGAAAATGCGCTAATCACAATCTCTAAACTCATAAAATGTGAATAATTGACAATAATAATTGTTTTAGTCCCTGTATACCAAAGGAAAACCAAAATAGTTTCTGATTTCTACGAGTCGCCCTGATGGCCCCATGTTGCCTAGGGCCACAAAAATTTGCAGAGGGGTTGAGGAACACCTAAATAAGATCCCAATAAAAAATAACTAAAAAAGCTTAACCCATTCGAAAGCTAAAACGAATTTACTATGATTGTTTTAGATAGATTATCATTTAACCATGGATTTAAATATATATATTATTTTAAAGTATATATAATTTCCAGCTCCTACATCTAGATCAGATCTGTATAGACTAATTTAAAACAAAAAAACCTCACGATAGTCCAATTTTTTAATGAGTTACAGAGCTATCTTTGGATGGGTACAAATGTACCACGGTTATTGATCAACGTATACTTTTTTGGTTATTGACCGTAGGGTTAAATCGGTGCACAGAAAATAGTTCTATTGTCACAGAAAAAAAATCGGTGCTCAAAGGGTTAATAGTATTTAGTACGGAGATGTGGTGGTACCGTTATGAGTACCCAAAATACCATATTACCAGCCAATTTGATTGAAGGTCGTGGGAAAATTACCGGGTATTGGGGGTACCGTTATAAGGGGGCTACCCTGAAACTTGGGTCAATATTAAAAAATTTGATATGAATATGTGTTATTTAACCCAAAATTCCAAATTACAGCCAATTCGGTAAATAATCCCCAAAATACCGAAAAATGGGGGGGGTTGAAAAACGTGTCCAAAATCCTCAAAATACCGAATATTGAGTCAAATAGAAAACTTACATATGCCCGTTACTTCGTTAACGCATGTGGGAATTGTTTTAAAAACCAATAACTACAAAAATTGAAATTTTAGTACCATTTTGTGTCTATGTCCTCTTAAAGTACATATTTCCAAAACTGCCTCCATATCTCAGCACTACACATCAATTCTGACCACAACAGATATCTAGCTCTATACATTTTATTTCCAAAAAATCAAATATAGGTTCGCCCACATTCAAATTAAGTACCCATTAATATAAAATTTCATACCTACATATCTTAACAATCTTAAACTTCTCACATACCCAAAATTTAATTCCAAATTTCGGTTCGCCTAAATCCAAATTGTATCAAATTTAATACCATTTAGTACACTCTAGTAGAAAAGTGATCTTAACTCCAAATTTCAGGATTCAGGTGCAAAATTTAGTACTTTTCGGGTACACGAGTACACGCTTTCAAAATCACCTCCTTATATCGACCCTACTTCTCAACCTTAATTCGCATTCCAAATTGCAAGTTTTTAGCACTATCCATTCACATGCTACGAAATTGATGAGAAAGATGTTTTCTTAGAAGACATAAAACGTTTTCTGCATGAACTTTAGAGTTATAAACATGACGAATTTGTGCTTCTAGTTCTTAATATGGGAGAGTTCTGGAAATAAGAATCTAAGGCATTTGAAAATAGTCATTAACTAATTTTGCAAGGACATGACATTCTTCTATTTGTCCTTCTACTATTTTTATTGGTATACAATTTTATAGTTAAAAATCGCACTCAAACTGTAGTAATTGTATGCACATTTTTTCGTTAAAGTTGTCAATTTTTCTTTCTCACGGACGCACGA